AGAGCAGCACTGGGTGAGAGGCCAGTGGTATTGGGAGATCAAAATAGATTTCAGAAGCTGGAAAGAGCCCCTTGTCATAAACAATGCAGAATATAGTCATTCGAATAATGAGATAAGTGTGAAAGTTTACAAGGACATCAAAAGGATCAGCATAGCAAGAGAAACAGCAGCTCAACTCAAAGCAAGATGAGCAGGAGGGAGGTTTGGGGGGTACAAAACAAAAAGAGTAAGTACTTTTTTGACAGAACCAACACAGAGCAAAAGGACTTCCTACCAAAGTTAAAAAAAAAAACCAACAAACCACACCACCCAGAACTATTCATCTTGGTATAAAACTATATGCATTAATTTTCTTATAACTGGTCAGAACTTTATTTGGGACACTGTTATACCAGTCCTTAACAGCTCTCAGACTAAGCAAAGCTAGGCCTTCCTCCCCCCAGGAATGTTTGCCAGTTATGTTAGTAGAGGTCATTCCAATAGCCCCTCTCTGCTCCTTCTGCTCTAAACATTCTTCCAAAGGATGTAAGGGAGGCTGGTACCCTCCCCATAGAGGGGCCATCCAGATTGTCTACCACCTCACAGTCAGCTGACTGAAGCAACCAAACTCAGCAGGTAACACTTGTAGAAATCCAGTATTTGAGCTCAAGTTAGGCCTCAATACTCCAGCCTCTACAGAGAGTGCTTTTCCATTAAACACTTGCACATTCTTTCCATCAGAGGGACAAGAGTCCAGACTTATCTTCCTTCTAGGTCCTACCCCAGAGCCCACCACCTCACATAGCTGCCAGGAAGTACCCTTGATACCTATTAGCTCTATCCTGGAGCATCTAAAGAACTAACTCCACTTATCTCAAGTTCTCGGTTTATGCCTTACACCCACCCTTCTTTCTCTTCGTTTCATACTTGTTTTTGTAATTTCCTTCCTGCCTCGTATTTGATGTGGCTACATAATCCTTGTCAGCCCTCATCTCCTCCACCTGAAGAGGTGAGTGTTGGCACACCTGAGCCTTGACCCTCTTAAAGGCTCTTAACACCAAGAAATAGTGCTTTCACCCCATGCATCTGGTGATGTAGAAGGGTATTTCCATGTAGCCAAACCCAAAGAAAACACTGTGTCTTGCATTTTCCAGAACAGGGATTGTGTTGCAGAAGCACTAGACAATGGGCTGTGACTTTAGTGGAAATCTGTGGCAAAACTGAGTACTGAACCTTGTTTGCAGATACCTCCCTAATGCTTGTAACCACGAGAACAGCTTCGTTCTCAAGCCAACACTGCTCCCTCTTTTTTTTCAGCATTTCACAAACCTTAAGGTTTCTGCTATGTCAGAAAACAGAACAATGCTGGGATTAGTTTCATTTGATTTTTCAATAGCAATCTCATTCTAAGTTGTTTACATTGCTCTGCCTTGGCCCTTAAGATTACCTGTCTGAGGAGGTTAATGCCGCCCTGTTGAAACAGGTTAATGAAATGAACCATGGGAACGGTAATCTCTTGCGGAGTGCTGCCTGCGTACGGGCACTAGCAGGCTGGCAAACAACTGTTGTTTTTCTCAAAAATAAATTATCCTCCAAAACTAATCTCCTTCTCCTTAAGAAAGTGCTGCCAAAATCCTGCAATTGCTCATAATCCTACAATAAACCGGGTCAGCAAGATTTACATGGCAATGTTCACACGTACCAAACTCCTATCAGAACACTGCAGGTTCTCGCCTGTCCTTACAGGTTGTGATGCCACTGAGAGTTTTCATGCAATCTCTCTGTTGTATTTGTTTTCTAGTCTAATGAGTGGTAAGCAGGTAGTATGTATGAGATAATAACATACAAACAAACAAACAAACTCTTTGTTTTTACAGGTAAGACCTTGGTTGTTGGTAGCCAATGGGAATTAAAGGAAAGCTGGGAGACATCTGTTTTACTGTTGTCTTCAGCATGTCACTTTAGTACTGTTGCCTGTAGTCAGAAAGCCTGGGGCACAGGTCATGAAGCCCAACCTGAGTGCTGTTAACATCACTGGAAAGCCTAACTTTGTTGCCTTTTTCTTACCTGTAATGTTTGCATATATTGGACAATTCCACAGCAAACACTTGGGACTTGTTTCACAGGAACATCTCCTGAGGCAATGGAGCAGTCCCCTTGTCCTGCTCTCTTGGGACTGAATTTTCATTCTAAGAAAGCTACTACAGACATCACTGCCCTATGTATAGGGCTGCTTGCATGTAGCAGCTTGCAGAATTGGGCTTTAGCCGTAAGAGTGAAACCAGTTAATTTGACAGTGGCCCCAGGGAGCCATTGCTTATTACTTTCCAGTAGTGTCCGGGATGTCCTCCATGCTTTCCAAGTAGTGAAGATGTCATGTCCCATGGTGTTTATAAGGAACAATTTTCAGTCAGAGCTGATTTGAGATGGTGCAGCACTTGCGGCCTAGTGAGGAAAGCTCGCACGTTTCAATGTCAGGCCTATGACTAAATCACTCTCCCCTACCGTCAGTTTAGTAATGATCACTTACCAGGTAATCGCCAGGCATAACCCTGTCCTTTCCTTTCCCTTCGATGACTTTGAGCCTCTTTATGAAGAAGTCAGGAAAAATCTCTTCTAGCTAAAATTGATTCTGCAAGGGACAGACTACATCACCACTCCAAGTGTTTTCGGGTACTAGTTTTCTCCGAGAGTGTCATGGAATGCAACGCATCCACCCCACCGCTACCCTCGCTTTTGGAAATCATTGCTAAGTCTGAAGAGGCATCAGCAACACTTAAGAATTTAGAAGTCTCCTCCAGAGAACAGGAGCAGGGATCCCCAATTCCTTCATGGCTGAAGCTTAATGGCATCAGCAGAAGAGAGTGGTGAACTCCATCCAGAGCACCAAACGAGTTTGCAAGACTTCCAGGCTCATGTGCAAAGCCATCAGGTGACAACCATTTGGAAAACAGGTATGAGGGAAGAAAGTTTGAAACGCTTTCCTTTTGCATTTGGAATATTCACTGTGCAGAGGTTTTAGCAAATTCTGTATGTTTGTGAAGTCTTGGGAGCAGATCTGTCCTGACCTTCACACACCTCCAGGGTGATTGTATCAAATACACTGGCTCCCTGTGGCAATGTATCAAATACTGTATTTACAGTGCTTTCACCGAGAGCTGCCCCAAAAGTTTCCTCTCTAAACAGTTTACCAAATGAGCTGTCCTTTCTCAAAGCAGACTGAGCGACAGGAGTTTTCATCAAAACTATGTACTTTCAGGAAGGAATTTAAAGGTGATAATGCCCAGCACAAGATCAGGTCTGTAAGTCAAGGTTTAACAGGTCATAGTGAGAAGAGAAAAATAGGGGAAGAATTGTTGGGATGTAGCTGTAGTCCTCTCCTCATCACAACAGCCAGCAGCTGGCACCACAGGCTTCAGTCTCATCCCACAGGCCTGGGCACAGCAGAACTCATGGAGTGTCACTGGAACAAATTCCTTTGTGCATGGAAAACCCTGCTGGGTGGTGTGACAGGGCAGTTCCTTCCCGTGAAAACATTGACTTTGCTCTTGCAGCGGCCAAGCAAGGGAATATAGCAGGGTGTGGGAGGGTACCTCTCAGGAAAACCACATCCAAGAACCACTCTTTTCAGGGATCTCAAATGGAAAGTCAGCAAGGAAAGAAACACAGGGATACCTGCACCCTTTCCAGTGTCAAACCTCCACGAGTCTGACAGAACTACAGCAAATACAGTGTTTTCATTATTACCACAAAGATCATGTTAGGACTTGAGAGACAAAGGAAAGTTATTGGCATCGTTACCTCCTGTAATTCTTTCTGGCAGCAGGCACAGAAGGGCAACAAGGGTTAATTGCTTAAATCACAGCCAGTTTGAGGTCTGAGGACCTAACTCTCAACTGCCCTCTTGGCTGCTGTGAAGTAATGGGCGTTTTCTCTCAGTACACCACCGGGAGATAAAACAGCTTTTCCTACTTGGATTTCACCCATCTCTCCTCTCAGGAGGACTTGCCATGCTTTGTCCAATGACTCATAACCAACACAGCTGAATCAGCTAGTGCTTTTTTCCCCCCCAAAGAACTGTTAGGAAAGCTTCTCAGTACAGACTGCTCCAGGACACCTTTTCAACACTACCTGTGGCGACTTGGCACAGAAAGATGACCACATGTGCTACTTGTACTCTACCTACTTACAGTGACAGCCAAAGACCCTGTAGAACGCAGGGTAAGTTGCCTGCCAGAACCATCCCCTAGCAGAAGACACTTTATATATAAAACACAAAATTTGCTGTCCTCCCAAGCTGATGCATTCTTCTGGGCACATAAGAAATCAGTTTCAGTTCTCAAAAAATACAATTCTCCTCATAAAATAGCTTCTTTTTGTTCAGATCAAGGTGATTTATGTCCTGATAGTTCAGCTACCCCCACAACAGCAATTCAGTATGAAGAACACCTTTGCACTGATCTCTGTGTCCCATGAAAAGCAGGGTGCAGCATTTTTTTTTTTTTGTTAGAGACGAAATCCAAGCAGAGTCAAGCATTTTATTCGTGTTGTCCCTAGATCTTGGACATCTGACCACAATGAAATCTGAAGTGATAGCGATCTAGCTCTGAAATGATGTTTCTGGACTAATTCAGACCTGCTGTCCATTCAGTTTCACATACTGGAATTGATTAAACAGATCATGAAAAATAAAGTCCTTTTATTGCTGAATAAATGGGATTCTTTCCCAAGCAACTGGGATGGCAAAATAGTATGAAGGAGGTGAACTTAACATCAGGTAGATTCAGCTACCACTGAACAGCTTTAAGAAACAGAAGTGCCAAAACAAGCATCTCTGCTCAGACACGCTTAGTCATTTCTTAAGTACTTTGAGAGAGAGTTGAGTACCCTGGCTTGTCCTAAAATTCACATACCTGTTTCAGACAGAGGTAAAAACCAAAGCGTTGTCAGAGCTGTTTTAAGAATAGCTGTCTGAATCCAATAGCACTTGTATGGTTATAATAATAAGCTCAAAAAACCACTTAAACCAAAGAATTTTAATAATTTCTCTATAACAAATAATTAATCAAATAGGCCGAATCCCATGTCATCATCAGATTCTTCAGATTCCTCCTTCTTCTCTTCTTTCTTTTCCTCAGCTGAAAAAAAAAAGAAAGAAAAAAAAAAGGCAATGGTCAGAATTTACATTTTTTTGCACCACAGATTTTCAAGATGCACGTTTTGGTCTTCTCAGCTTCCGTATTATTAGTATTTCAGCCTCCATGGCTCATCTGATTGCCTTTCAACAGCAAAATATGAACAACGAGGTGCTGAAGGGATGTGCTTTACACAGTGACGGCTGTTCGATTCTGTTCTAAGCCAGACCAATCTTAAGGTGGATAAAGAGCAAATGCTTCTGATTGCTCAAAGGAAAAGTAACTGTTCAGTTTCCACTTCCATGACACAGTGAACTGCCCAAGTGGAAAGGCCTCAACATTGGGACACAACTGTTAGGATTATAACAGAGGAAACTGAGATGCCCTGGAACAACGCCTCTCCCCCAGACTCACCGGCAGCAGGGGCGGCAGCTGCAGCAGGAGCAGCAGAGCCCCCTCCAGCAGAGACTGCCACAGCTCCCCCAGCCGGCATGCTGGCGAGTTTTCCATTACCTGAGTGGGACAGAGTATTTAAATGATTATTGCAAGTACAGAGGTAAGGTGGAAAGGAAGAGAAATGAGTGCAGAAAACTACATCTTGTGGACTGAACCTGTCACTCAGCTGAAGGGAACAAGAGGCTGCAGCCAGAATAACAAAGTATAAACTACTCTATAAAGAATACTCAAGAATTTAAGATTCACAAAGGCTTATCCTGAGTACACTAAGTTTTCTTCTGTATACAAAGTCCCCTTTTCTTCCACCCCAAAAAAACTGTCATAAAAATAGCTGCAAACTCACCCAATTTTACACATACAGAAAAATGGTATGTTTGCTGAATACAACTTAAAATCCTAGGAATAATTTCAATATACCTCAAAAATAACACATAGACAGCACTGACTCCCCCCACCCCCCTTTTTTAATGGCACAGGGAACTGTGAGGGCATGACTGGATCACACTTATAGGAAAGAAGGGGGTGGGGGGGGAAAGATGTATTTATGGCAAAGAGTACAGTATTTAAAACAAATTCTCCATCACCCTATGAACCCTATTGCATCTCCTCTGAGATCAGCAAACTGACTTCTGATTTATGCCTGCCTTTGGAAAGCTAACTAGTTCTCTGGCATCTGCCTTTCACATACCAAGGCTCCCTTGACGTTCACAGGTCACGTACACAGTATGTTTGCCTGTATTCCAATTTCTGAGAATCAGTTTCTAAACAATTCTGTTAGTTCAAGTTCTAATAAACTAGTCAAGTAAACAAACATGTTTCATATGCATGCAGTATGTTCTAGGAAACAATCTGAAGTATCACAGAGAGAGATAGCGTGTGTTGTAAGCACATGCATAATGGCTCTCTTAGGTCCTCAGACCACATGGACAGAAATGTCCAGTTACTGCTTGTAACAGCAAAGCCAGGCAAAGTCCTGGCAACCTTTAAGCAAATATACGCCTAAAAATTCCCTTGTGCCTATGCACTTGCAACAAAATAGAAATGAATTAATCAGAAACCTTTGCACTACCTCAGCTCTGCTTTATTTCAGCCCTATGACCCACTCAATTACTGTTAAAAGTTCCAGCTTTGGCACGTGCCAGCATGTAAGAGCAAAACCTTCTACCTAAGTCAGCACTCGAGTCCTGAGGGAACGCCAGACTTAAGGAGCTCTTGAAGACGTATACTGAAGAGGATTGTATTAATTGCAGGGGGTGTCACTGTACCCTTAATGTGAATTCACACTTACGTGGACACCTAATTCTTTCTCAAGTGAAGATGTCCAGAAAACTATGTCACGAGCAGATACCAATAAGCTCATACATGCTTAAGTTTTCCAGTTTAATGTGGTCCACAAGCGAAACCCAGCAGGTACTGGCACTGACCTGCAGGGAATTAGAATGGACCTGAATTTCAGTCATTTCAGCCAAGATCTGGCATGGAAGTCTTCAACTGCAAAGCTAAACTAATGAATAATCAAGGAGTTGGCAGCAATTCTACACTCTCAGGTCTAAGTTACCAAAGTAGTAGAGGCAATTAGCTGTAACACTCAGACTGTACTTACCCTGAGCAATGACATCCTCAATGTTTTTTCCACTCAGCTCACTAATAACCTGTGTGAATTAAGTTTAGAATGTTACTAGTTTCAAAACAGCACGAGTATAAACTACTTTTAAACAAGTACTCATTAATCATCATGTGCAATGCCTCCATCCTGCTGCTGATACAGCCCCAACCTTCTTTATTTCTCAGTCAAAGGAAGAGAAGACTGAAATGAAAACTTCAGCTAAGTCTTCCATTCTTTTCTGTGAAAGCTTTTTCATGAAATCTGTTACAAAAAAATTCATAATGAATCCAAGGACCTTGCAAAAAGGATACACAGATGATGTGGAGCCAATTAGGAAACCCCACTAATGGTCTGTTAGTCACTGAGGGACTGTTAATGTATCTTGCATAATACCCACTGGGAGGCTCTGAAACACTGGGTCCTAGACAAAAAAAAAAAATCACAGGGTCCTGTTCCTAGCATTACCAGATGTTATAACCAAGCTGGCAATTGTATCCTTGTACTGGAACAGAGAGTCCCAACTTCAATTTTACTACCGTTATTGTATAACCAGGGGTAAGGAAACAAAAACACAACCCCAAAAATTGCTAAAGCAAGTTGTGGTTTTTTTTTTTTTTTTTTTTTTTTTAAATTAGAAAAGAGAATGCCACAGACCTTGCTGGTGAGTCCCTGCTACCAGGAGCCAGTGCTGAACCCTGCAGAGTCACCAAAGCCGAAGGGCTTTAACCAAGAGCTTTTCAACAAGCACCTTCTGCTTACAGAGCCTGTGATCTGTGCCTGCCTCCTCCCACTCATCCGGAGGGAAGGTGTTTTTAAGACTTTACTAGATTTACACTGGCATAAGATATGGCCAATACCAACAAAAAATTAATCACGACCAAAATAAATTCCAGAGAAGCTTTCCAGATATTGGAGGATCAGAGAAAAACAAGTAATTAATGAAGATATTAAACCAGCCAAAGCTTAACAACCTGGCATTTAAACAGGAGCACCATGGGTTCAAACCAACATCCCAAACGCTAAAGATGCTGTCAGCTCAGTCAACCCATCATTTGGTTGAGCCTATGGTAAAACATGGTCTCCAGCTGGTGAAGTCACTTGTTTTTCCTCTACCTCTCTGGAAACACTCTGTGTGTAAGTACAGGCCAGGTGATGAGACACCCCCCCACCCCCCCCTTCTTTGTTCTTTTCCCATGGTCATTCATTTTTTAGTCCACAAGGCTGAAAGTCTATTATATCACAAAAAATATTCTAATGAAGATCCCATCTTCTTAAAAACGCCTGTTTTTCAACACATCCATTTCTGGATTAATTTCCAAAATCTTCCTACATATCACTATTGAACACCTTTAATATCCGTTATATTTGCCTATTTTCTTGGTAAAAGAGTAAATGCTTCTTTGCAGTACACTAAGTAAGAACTAATTACTAAATATCAGGCCTCCAAAAGTTTCAGCTTTGAGTCAATACTGACCAAAAGCCAAAATTAAACAAAGTGGAAACTAAGCATTATGTCAGAACAGAACTTATTTTCAATACGTGCTTATCTGTAGCCACAACAGCATCCCATTGAAAACCAGAAGTCAACAAGTAACAGAAGTCCTTGTAGGGGACAGATGTTAAGAAAGCAACTTCTACAGCAGCGTTGTAAAAATACTGATTGGTTGAGCAGCGTTTTAGAAAATACCAGTTAAGCAGTGTTTGAGAAATCACACAGGTAACATCTGAACCAAACAGCAAGGCAACCAAAGAAACAGCTCAAATGTCTGATGCTGAGACACGTCCACCTGGAATTAAGAGGCAATGCCACCTTGTTCATGCGTTCATCGTCTGTCTCGATGCCAACGCTGTCGAGGATCTTTTTCAAGTCCTTTGACGTGGGAGATTCGTTGCCACCCAGGACCGCTAAAAGGTACGCTGCGACGTAACGCATCCTGAAAAACAAGGGAATCGGATCTTCAGTGCTAATGACCCTGCTACACAGTGAGGTTCATCTCACCGGGGGAGCAAACCTCACTCTCCCGGCCACAACCACCTGGCTCTACTTTTATACGGAAAGCCACGACCACGAGGGCGCGTGCTGGTCTCCTGCCAGCAGAGCCCCGCACAAGGCGGCCCGCTGGACACCGCTAAGCCCCCGCGGCTCCCGGCCTAACGATGCCAGCACCACACACTCCCCTCTCCCGGAGGAGAGCGGCACTCCGGCCTCCCGAACATCTCCTCGCCCCCCGCACGGCATCCTCACCCCAGTTACCCGCGGCGTTAGCCTAAGCCTGCCCCGTCCCCCCGCAGGCCCTAGCCTGGGCCTAGGCCTGGAAAGCACATGGCCGCCGTTCCCC